TCACATACGTATGACTTTTGGTACGCTATTGTTTTCCCCGATGCGATACAGTAGTCAGACGAAACACATGAGGTCTCTGAAATTTTGCCGGGGAGATTAGGAACCGGGATAGAATTGGAGGGTACAGGCAGGCTATTAGTCAACGAGGTTGGATGCAAGCTTCAACAGAGGCCTCCCAGACCCACTTCAATGAGGCGATGCTGGGATGATGCGGACCGCAGGTGGAACGATTTGACTAGGCAATACGCGGGCGGGAGTATACAAGAGAATGACTAAATACCCATGAAAACTGGTGGTAATCTCGAAGGAGTGTTTTCAAACGTTCTGTTGCGCTAAACTCCTCAAACTTCACCTGGGCAAGAAAGTGGATGTGGTCGACCTTCGCACGACGTTCTCGTATCTGACCTGGTTTGAGCGTAGGACTGAAGGTCAGGTCACGGCTTGTCCACATTTCAAAATAATTTCATGCGCGCATGTGTTATCGCGCACGTCAACTCCGGATTTCATCATGTATATAGAATGTAGTTCGACAGTTATTGTGGTTCTTCTCCTTGTAACTTTTAATTGTACAGGTGAGTGACTGCCTCTTCTGTGGAGATAATACCCTTATCTTCTTTCAGCAAATTCAACCGCCTTTTGCGAATTATCTGATAAACATGCGAAATTTGCCGATAATATAACTAGAATTTTTGAACGAGTTTCCAACTTCGAAAATGTTAAACAGGCATTGAGATCTGTTTTGGTCGATTTCAAGGGTACGACGAATCGGTTCTTTCCACAAAATAATAGCTCTGCCTCAGAGTATACTCTATTTGAGCAAGCTTTCAATTAATTCGCAATTGGAAGGGATCAAGCCAAGGGTTCGCGAACTGATTTCCTACTCAATTCGACTGTTTGATTACTTGGAGGGTCGGTTTGACGTTTCACGACAAAAGTACGTTCCGTTCCGTGTGCTTGAAGGGCGTATCAACGATTTCCTTGATAATATCATGATATCTACCCTCCAAGAGGCGGGCTACCCAGGACAGATACCTTACGACACCGAAGAGCTCATACGCTGCAGTCAGACTACGGATTTAGTGTTACCTACCCTGAACTTAGTCGGAAGTCTCAAACAAATTTGGAAGGAAAAGGTGATTTATGGACTGAGAGAATACGCATGGATTTACCGTATGTTGGGGGTGAGTCCATTAGTTTAATAGACCAGTTTGGTATCTTGGTCAGCCGTGCCCGTTTATCATTTGCACAGTGATCCAGATTTTCAAATATCTCTTTGGGTGAAGTTGCATTGTGCAATTTCTTTGCAAGGGGGATATAGTTGCAACACTAATGTAGGGTGCATTGCATGGTCAGGTGTGTGCGAAACGGCCGTTCGTGTCATGAACCCGTGCCATTCAATTACCCAACTGGTTCATTGCTATACGAAGTGGAGGCTTCAGGTCGCTGCCAATTGCACGCACCTGAAAGATTTTTTGGCAGGAATTAGGAACTAGCCAAATCGACATTACCTTCACCAAAAATGGCTTACGAAACATCCTTAGAAATCGGTTTACTGCACGTTTCATCTCAGCAAACTGATGAAATACATTGTACTCTTTATATTGCATACAGTATTTTGTGCTGAAACATCTGACTGCGGAAAACGGTACTGACAGCATGCACAGCGGAAGATAGTACATTCACTCATAGCCGCAGCAAAAAGGGACGACGCTGTAAAAGACAGTAATGCACTCTTTGCCAAATTTTGTGGATTGGTTTCCATGCCCATTTGCGTTTTACAGCTTAATCTGGTCCATTGATTTAAAGTACTTGCGTTTATTATGTTCGGTATTTGCGATTGGATTCGCGTTGTGAATAGCAAGATAAACTGAACAGACAAGGGGATTCAATATATTAGAGACAAATCCACGGGTTAGAATACTCACGCATGACAACATGGGTTGGACTTATTTGGCGCTTTAAATAAATCAGCTATCTTTTTAAATATGGTTGTTCAATAAGCTTTCTGCTATGGCTGAGTGCACTGACAATGAAATACGTATCTTGGAATAACGTTATTCGCTACGCTATTGAACAGCATTTGGTATTAATAGAGTCTTTGGAAAAAGAGATGTATAACCGAGCTTTAAGGATTGATAGGATATACCCTAATGGCGTAATTTTACTGCAGTAAACCTGGGCACACAAGAGAGGTTTTCTGCAGTGAGAAAGTGCACACAGAATAGATTTGCACTTTTTTTTTACTAAAAACAGAGGTGAGAGCACAGAATAGTTTGCACTTTTTTTTTACTAAAAACAGAGGTGAGAGGAGAGGGACGATGTACTAGGTGGCTGCAACAAACAAAATTGTGTTTTTTAAATTACATGCATCCAATGAGAAGGCTAACATTTTGACTACAATACTTTGGAAAATCTACTTTTGTTTCAATTAAGCACAATTTAAGTAATTGATAGTGCACCACGTCCTTTATAGATTGTCCACAATTGATACAATTGAAAAGAAAAACTGAAAACAATTACTATCGCTCAACTGCTGTTAAACCGTAGAAGAAACTTCATTCCAAAGATAAAAAAGAATTGTTCTATGGACACAGAAGCTGCGAACTATTCAGCGGACAAAATAATATTTGCTGGCACACCAAATATTTTAGCCTAAATAATTGGTTTTTGACATAATTTGTGGACATTCGTAGGAAGACATACACTGAAAGCAGGCAAGTGGTGAGAACTTAGCACGACACTTTGTTTCAAAGTTGGTTAACAAACTAGCTAAAAAAATGTCCCACCACAAAATGCACATCGAATAAAGTCGGTACATTGTCAGATTGGTGATATAGCCACAATCCCTAGCATCGTTTTTCTTAGGAGAAAAGTTGCACAGTTTAATCATACAAAAGAGTATTAGTCTTTCAGAAGTGACATCCTTTTGTGTCCATCTCACTAACATCCAAATGAGGCACGGGGGCTGAGATAATGCCAGGCCATCCGAGCCTATACAGGAGCTGTCGGCATGATATGGTTAAAACCTTTTGGTAAATAAGTTTTATTTTAAAAGACTTGGTTACTCCGAGCTTGTCTGAAAAAATCTGGGACCTTATGTAGTCTACTGAAAAGCGTCTGACACAGAAAGCATACTTTTGTCTTTGAAGCCTCCCAGTAATAATAACGCTCGAAATGGTTTGTTTGATTTACGGGTCACTATGAAATTTTATTCAATATCTGTAGTACCAGGCTTGGTGTGAACAAAAACACGATAAAAATCAAAATGTCTGTAACTTTGCATGTAGATAGGCTGAGAAAACTGCAGATTTCCATCGACATTTTGTCCGGCTGGCCTTCAATATGCAATGCGAACTCAGAGTGCAATGACGTACATTTTTGGCATACGACTTAATCTTAAAAGACCCTAATTATATTTCGGCATCCAAAGCCTCTCATCTGACATGCTCGCTTCGCGAGTATATTTTCTACACATCTGGAATAAAGCTGAACTTCTATTTGAGCACCTCACATTGGAACTTTTGAGCCAATTCATCAGTTGAAATGACTCTCGTAAAACTTATTGGGCTCTTTAAACACCTGAATTCTCCAACGCTTAACTAGAGAAGTAAATAACTATTTCTACGTCAGTGGGTCACATTGTTTTGCAGATTTTAAGCACATTCATGTTTTTACAGTTACCATGGCTTGTAGGTGCACAATGCCTCTTTTAAAATAGCTCAAGCAACCGTTGTGATCATACAGTCCCTTCTATCGCTGAAGTGAATGTCGTATTTGGGCTTTGAATCACTGCATTAGACCTGTACCTCTGATGGCTCGATTTTATTTTGGATGTTTTGAAGTAGGAAAAAATATCCAATCGTTTGCTTAAAAACATCATGAACGAAAGATTAAGTTGGCTTTAAGGAGAGTCTCTCGTGAAAACCACATTGGTAAGCAAATGACTCTATTTCTCTAATTTTCCGCAATTTGGGTTCAATTAGAATCCGGGGACTGCGATTACCTGATGAGCTCCAAGGAGGACAAAACCGGTCGTAATCTGCCGAGGAGTTTCCAACAACCTCATGAATAGTGTCACGCTTTTGTTTTTCATCGCTTTACATCCAGAAACCATTTACCGGTACAGCAGAGCGTGTTTTGATCGAGTGCACCAGAATTTACTGAGTGACTTGTGCAGTTTAAGAGGCAAGCCAGAATTTACTGTTAGTGTGATGTGTCATTCGGATTGAACACATTTGCAGCAAAGCTAACAGAATGCGGTCCCTTGCGCTCAGTTAACATCTTTCAGCAATCTTCATTGCGTCTGTCTGGAGTAAATGTCAGGAAACAGGCTTTCGCACCTTGTTTTTCCCGGGTAACCCGCGTTGTCCAAAACACCTGTTTATTTTGAAGGTTTGCACCTTAAGAGAATAAGAACCATTACCTTTTTGTGGGCAACATACGACACGATTTAAAGGTTATTTTAATAAATTTGGCTCCGAGTAGAGGTCAAATGAGAAGCGAATTTCCGTGCGTGAATTTTCGTGTCCGCGTCATAACACACCTTAAACATTGGAATCTTTGTACAACCTCGCCTTAATCAAGGAGAACAACACCAGTGGAAAACCCTGGTGCTTCAGTACCATAAAGGCCTTACAACAGAAGACCGAAAGAATTTAGGCAGTGATGGAGCCCAGGAGTAGCCGACCACAAACAGTCGGAATGCCTACACCTCTAAAACTCAGTCCGATTATCTGGAAAGAACCTGACAGCGCGAACGCTCCTGACAACGCTTAACTCCAGCCAAGAACAAGATGGGAAACATGGATCCCATCCTGAAAGTCGGGCAGCACAAACAAGATCCAGACTTTTCGTAACGTCCATCGTTCCGTTCTGCTATATCAGATTCTCGCGATCTCCAGTTTTCGCCACTCCGAATTAGCTCGGAAAACAGCGCTTATCTTGGCGGCCGGTGAATTGGCAAGCAAAAACATGGCGCGGCCACCGTAGTTTGTAATGTTGAACTCATTTGTTGATGTAAGTAACCTCTGCGTCACCAGAACTTTGGCTCTCCTGTTCACCTCATTGTGAATTCGTTGAGTCCAGTCTGTACTAAGGAGACTTTGACGGTAGGTGCTGTGACGACACCTCAGCTCCCCAACCCGAAGTAGCCGAGTCTCGCAACTAGACAATAACACAACTCCTTTGAGACCCGACAAAATGTCTTTTTGGTGCCACAGGTGGTGTAAACTTTGTAAAACGGCACTTTATTCTGTGCTGAATTCCATGGGCACTAATTGATTTTGATATGAGTAGTGATACGCCGCCTATCTGTGGCTGCCTTTCTGTTAGGGTAGTGCTAGGTGTTACCGTGAACTGGGTAATCTTTGTCAATGATTAACTTTGACAACCAAACTTGTGTTTTGAATTACAAACTGTTGCAAATGATTTCGTGCGACTTTGACCTGATGGTTGCTGACAGTTTTAGTGGTAATGAAACTTGGCACACGTGCAAATCGTGGTTTCCATTGAAGCACATCTGAAGGTTGATCACTTGCATTCCCGTTCTTCGAAAAATGCATAGTAGCGTTTTGTGTACGAGAATGTAATCAGTGACCAATTTACAGTGATGATGTAAACCTGCAAAATGCAGCAAAGCTCGCCACAAAACACGACCACCGGTCGGATATTAGCCCCTTCGGGTTAAGTTAGTCCTAAGACCATACCGCCAACAGTGACCTTGCCAATAACATCATTTCAAGTGGATTTTAAGACTACGCAACGGTAGACAAGATTCGCACCTGAAATCTCCATTGCCTGAAGACCTAATTTAAAGACGGTAGAATCGGTGGGTACTGCCCGAATATCACACAACGCGCATCCCGTGGATGTATAATACCGATGTCAGGGCTGCTGGAGGGCATTGCAGGCTTGATTTATTGTCCGCTGCAGTGTGAGTGTTGCCGGTTTAAGAGACGTATACCTTGGCACGAATTCTATATCAGTGTTTAGACAACCTAACCGCGCTTCAGATAATTGTCTAGAACCAGGCCGCGTACTGGCTTACATTTCATGAGTCGAGTCACTCAGATTTGGCATGTGGTTGACACAAAAGGGGTTATTTCAAAATCTTCATTTAGGGGCAAGGCAACCTCCTTTCTTAGGAGCTAGAATCGCCCCCAGTTTGGAACAGCTCGGGCTA